AAAAAAAAAAAAAAAGATTACAGCTTAGAAAACCAAAACAAATAACTAAATACAGAGCAAGAAGATTGGGCGAGGGAGAGCGAGAGGGAGAAGCCTGCTTCATATTGGTGTTGCTGCTGCTGAGTGCTGCCAAGTCGGTTCCAACTCATAGAGACCCTGGTGAAGGCTTTCTTAGGTGACAATTCATTATTGCAGCAGAAAGCCTCATCTTTCTCCCCCAGAGTGGCTGGCGGATTTCAACTGCTAACCTAGAGGTTAGAGCCCAATGTATAACCCACTACGCCACCGGCTCCTAGTTTAATGACATTGTCCAGTAACAAATTTAGGGAAACCTCAAAAAAAAAGAACAATGACAATAAGACAGAAGGCCACAGAATGACCAGTTGGAATTAAATTCCTAAGAAAAACGTCTTTAAACTCACTTGTCTAATTTTCAGAGTTTTCATTTCTTTGGTTTTCGGTAGTTTTTTTATTTTATTTTTGTTAACTGCTAAAAGCAAATCATCCATATTTTAAAAAAATATGGACAAGTAAAAACAGAAAAATTGTTAACATATTTGATCCTGGAGCAACTCCTATTAAACATATCTCCATGTACTTTTGAGTCAAGAGCTTTACAAGGTTTACTTCAGATATAGCAAAAGGCAAGGCCTCACTCAATGAAGAAGTGAACATTAAGCTGCAAAGAAAACTGAGGAAATAGGCTGGTGACGCTCTGTGGGAAAAGTGTGCTAAGCCAATGGAACAGCACAAGTGAAGGGAAAAGCAGGAAGTGGCAGCAGTGAGCCAGCCGAAGAGAGGATGGACACTAAGGTCATGGACTTCTTCATGGTTAGCATCTGAAACGAGTCCCAAGCCTATCTAAAACCAACCCACTTTTAGTTGGGTTTTAAAAAACCACCAACTCCCCAAAAAATAAATTAATAAAACAAGGGAAAAACAAAGATATTCAAATAAGTCAGTCAGATCACTGTGATAAAGATGAAATGCCTGACTCCTTGATGAGAATTTCTGCAGGCAAGAGTGTACATACAGCAGCCTCACACACCCCTAAAACATTCTCATCACTTATTCAGACATGGGTATGGGAGGTGGAGGGGGCGGCTGTGCTGTCGAGTCAGTTCCAACTCACAGCATCCCTTGTATATGGTTTCCAAGGCTGGAAATCTTTACAGGTGTAGAAAGCCTCCTCTTCCTCCCAGAGTGGCTGGTGGATTTGAATCGCTAACCTTGCAGTTAGCGGCCCAGCGTGTAGCCACTATGCTACCAAGACTCCTTCTTATATGTGTTGTTGTTGTTAAGTGCTGTCGAGTTGGTTCCAACTCACAGTGACCCTGGACAGGGTTTCCCAGGAGCTACTCCTAGGTTTGAACCATCTACTGTGCAGGTAACAATGCAGTGCTTATCCTATAGCGCCACATCAGGACTTGACTATTATATTTCCACAAAGGTGCTCAGAATTTACACTTTCTGATGAACAATTTCTATTCTTAATAACTTTTGCTGTCAGAGCAGACTCCAAGTCTCCATATTAAAGGCCACAAAACACTCACAGAAAATTAAATGCAGAATTCACTCTGCATAAGAGAGACTAAATTTCTGGTACTGAGCAAAACTTGATTTATGATCTTACAGGAAGACAGATAAGAGGCAGTTTTATGCTTGTGGTCTGGTAGTTGATTCCACTCACATTTCATTAATGTTCTCCAGTCTCAGGTCATGGACCTTTGTTCAAAGGTTTCATTATGGAGAATTTATAGATGGGTCTGAAAAACAGTATAAACTACGAAGAAAGCCACTGAATAACCTATTTTAAAGTTACCTATTTAAGACACTAATATAGAACTCAGTGCCTAACAATCAGTCAATTTTATTTTTCAATTCAGCAACCTGTGACAGTTGGTTTTCTTGCGCATGTGACCTTGGCATTGTGCCCATGTTTACATGGACTGAGAGGAGTTTAAAGCTGGATGATAGATACATTAAACTGGGCCTGCTCCACACCTGTATGTATGTGTGCCGATCCTCCAGACACTCCCATGTAAATCCATATACTGGCAAGGGCCTGTATGGGCACAAACGCATGGTAAGGCATGGCATTTCAGAAGTAGTGTTTGACCTCTGTTCTATAAATAGCATGAATAAACTAGTGGAAATTGTGATCTCATTCTTCTTTGAGTTTCTGACCCCAGTATGCTTGGAAATACTCTTGAAATAAAGTCAATTCTGTCTAGTAAATTCAGTGAAATTCCTTGAACTGAATCACAATATGAGAAGTAAAGATTATCATTCTAGAAAGTGTTACAAAAGAGGGAAAAGAATAATTTGATCTGGTACAAAGGTACTTGTGACAGAACCAAAACCCCCCAAAATGTGAACACTGGTCAGAAAGAGACTGGAGGAACCTGAGACTAGGTTCTTAATTTTCAGACAAGCAGCAGATAGGTGATAGATGGAGGGGAAGACAATGTGGCGCTGTGGGTTAATGCACCAGAGTTGCAAAGCCTTGTGAACTGCAAGGCCAGCAGTTCAAGCTCACCACGTGCTCCTCGGAAACCCTATACAGGGTCACTATGCGTCGGAACCGACTCAGCGGCACATAACAACAACAATACAACACTGGTAGGGAGATCTGGTAGCGTAGTGGTTACGAGTTGGGCTGCTAAACTAAAGGTTACCAGTTCAAAAATACCAACTGTTCCACAGGAGAAAGATGAGGCTTTCTGCTCCTGTAAAGACTTACAGTCTTGAAAACCCTTTACAGGGCCGCTATGAGTCAGAACCAACTCCACAGCACATAATAACAATAACAACTCTAGTAAGGCATGCTCACCATGGAAGGGTCAATCATTCAAAATCAAAAGGGCAACATTTCCCTAAGAACAAAGTTGAGAAGGGATGGGAAGGTGGGCAAAAGGCAAATAGGAAGCACAGGGAGGAAGTGGGATCGCTGTTGTGTAGAGGGGATTGCAATCATAGAGATGAAGCAAAGTGCATGATTTGTTTCATGTAAAATTGATGATCTTGTCTGTAAACCTTAGCTCAGTTCACAATAAAAAGGTTTTTGTTTGTTTGTTTGTTTTTTATGTAAAAAGCACTACTAATTAGTGTTAGGAAATTATTTACCCAACAAATCTTACATGCTAAAAACTTTTTCAAGCAACTTTGAAAAACAGTATGTTGTTCTTTCAATAAGTATTTAGTCTCTTCTAATAGTCATGTATGTAATCAAGTGTGCTAAATGCTGGGGAAGAAAGGCGAACAGGACACTGCCTGCCTAAGGTATACTCCACAGAAACATAATGCCAACACAGCCTGACTCTCTCAACAAGTTAAAGATCTCTCACTCCAGAGCTCCAAAGGGTTCAGAGACTAGAGGTGAGGGCACTGAGGTCACTGCTGGGGTGACAGAGATAGCAGCTGGCACCGTCCACCTGTAAACTGCAGTCTGAGAAGGAAACTCAGAAGGGGAAAGGGTTGCCAATAGCCACCTACACCTCCTTACACCCCCCACCCCATACCCTGACTAGTCCTCCTATAAAGAAACCATCTTTAAAGGGAACTGTCCAAGGTTACCACCTGATATGGAGGAATGCTTTGGTGTGGGATACCAATAAAATAAAAGAGCATCTCTATATACCTAAAGAGCTTTACAACATCTAAGCGTTGACCATGTCAGCCAAGGCACATGAAATAACCAGATTAAAACGTCAAGATGATGCTGACCGAAAGAGGGAGATCTCTAACTTCCCAAAGCAGCAACCCTGTGGAAAGGTAATGGAACCAGCGGAAGTTCCATATCCAGGACAGAACTGTTTACCCACCACCACCACTCCTGCACCCCCGCCATCCCCGTGGTAAAAGTTTGAACCGCTATCCTACGGTGGTCGGAAAGTTCCCTCAACAACCAGAAACTAGTGGGCACATTAAGATCTCCGTCCCGGCCAACCCCAGGTGCCCTCTGCCAGCCTGTCGCTTCCTCCCGGGCCTTGCTCTCCCCACCTCACTCCCTTTCCCGGCCCATCACCGCCCCTGCCTCGGCTTCCAAGGCCGGTCTGGGGTCCCGGGCAGCATCGCGGCCACCGGACTCGGTCCCGGGGGACCTCGGCCTCAAGC